TCACTTTGGTATATATAACCCTATATCTGACTCTTTTAGTTTTAGAACTTACAAACAACCGTTATGTGAACAAAACTATAATACTCTCTTTAGCAACTTTGTTGCGAGAGTATAAAAATGACAACCAAACCATAACGTTTCCGCCGCCATATTTAGGGGTCTTTAATGTTTTAATTTGCATTTTTAGTATTCTTACTTAAGGAAATACCTAATTCAGAATTAATAAGTTTTCTTTTGCTTCACTTCTTGTTGATCAACAATGGAACTTTTCTTGGGCTTAGGGTCTTTAAACTTTGTTTTATGGAAATAAATGGACTTTTTTTAACAGATCGATTTATATAGCATTTGATTGACAATCGTATTGTGGGTTTCGTGTGTCAATCTGGGCAACTCATCTAACTCCTAGTTCAAATTTTTTTTGGAAACTTGGAAATTACTCTGCCTAAATTTTTAATATGCTCTCGATTTTTTCGTTCGCTGTGATTACTCTTTCGCACATCTATTTAATAAAAAGAGAAACATACACTAACTGGTCACGATTAACATATGTATAAAGTACCATAACTAAGCACTTCATTATACCATATATAGTATATATATGGTACATATGCGGTAGAAGGGGCACCTTTGGGAAAACATGTTTGTGTGTAGTTTAATGAACATCTCCTAAACCACTAAAGCAACAACAACCGCAGTATCTATAGTTGACTTCTGACTGAAAATTACGCTCAATGTATGCTATATATAATTAAAATTCAGATAATATAGTCCTTGACAATAGTAACTCTGTGTATAAATAATGGGTTAAATCGGGGCATATATCGGGCAATATATGAGACATCTCAATGAAAATTTTAGAGCGCTTTTTACTCATAACAGTGTATTTTTGTGCCTGAAATAGATCAGATTGGTCGAAAACATGATCTAGCCACCATATAGCTAATATCGGGATTTTCGAAGACCTGATTTACTTTACTTCATACAATTGGTAATTTATGTTAGGTACCTTATTGAAACACAGGGAACAATTTTTTGGTATGTGATGATAATTGTTAGTAGACAAAATCGGGTCGATACTATGCCCATATACTAATTTTAAAAAATTTCTAAGAAACCTCAGTAATCCTCTGATTGACGTTTTACATTTTGAGGTATTTCCCTGCCTTTGATTCCTGCAAGTTGCAAGTGTATAAAATGTTCAGTTGTTAATCCTTCCTTACTTGTTATACCCTGAACAGGATATATTAAGTTTGTCACGAAGTTTGTAAGACCCTATAAAGAATATATATAAATGATCAGTATGTTGAACTGAGTCGATTTAGCCAGCCATGTCCGTCCGTCTGTCCGTCTTCCTGTATATATACGAACTAGCCCCTCAGTTTTTAAGATATCGTTTTGAAATTTTGCAAACGTCATTTTCTCTTCAAGAAGCTGCTCATTTGACGGAACTGCCGCTATCGGACCACTATAACATATAGCTGCCATACAAACTGTACGATCGGAATCAAATTCGTGTATGGAAAACTTTCACATTTGGCAACGTATCTTCACGAAATTAGGTGTTAGTTATTGTTTCTAGAAATAATGTAATATCGAAAAAAAAATTTTTCAGATCGGCTTACTACAGCATATACCTCCCATACAAACTGAACGATCGGAAAAAAGTTCTTGTATGGAAAACTTTTGCATTTGATAAGATATATTCACGAAATTTGGTATGAGTTATTGTTCATAGAAATAATGTAATATCAGAAGAAATTATTCAGATCGGCGAACTATAGCATATAGCTGCCATGCAAGCCGAACAATCGGAATCAAGGGCTTGTATGGACGTGGTATCTTCACGAAATTTGACATGGATTACTCCGAAAAAATTGTTTAGATCGGATTACTATAGCATGTAGCTCCCATATAAACTGAACACATAGTTACTAAAAGAAATGCACCTGTGAAGGGTATATTAGCTTCGGTGCAGCCGATGTTAACGTTTTTTCTTGTTATATCCTTGTTTTCATTTCACATTACAAAAATTAGAAAACATGAACAAAATATCTTTATAATGACAGTTTTGTCCCGAAACAGAACAAAAGTGTCGAAAGCATATGTAGACTCTAAATTTAGATACCTCCAATTTTGATGTTTGGTAAAACCTTAAGACCTTCCGCATAATTTTTTATTTATTTTTGGTTAGGGCCAGAGAGTAAGGATCACAATAGGTTTGCATGCATGAAAAATTTTGTTTTTGTAAAGCCGTGTTATCAACCTGAAAATATTATTCCTACTTTAACTCGTAAAATTAACACGTTTTTATAAAAATACTTTTGTTGCTTAAAAACGACACGATGCTCTTATTATATCGCACAACCGTCAACTGACTTTTTGTACACAGAAGAGATTTTTACCAATTGTGTGTAAATAATTTGCATTTTTAGTATTATAGTTTTGTTCACCTAATGGTTGTACGTACCACCTTAATATAATCGAGATAGATATAGAGTTATATATATAAAGTTATATATATAAATAATCAAGATGACGAGAAAAGTTGAAATCCGGTTGACTGTCTGTCTGTCCGTCCGTTCGTCCCTGCAAGATGTAACTTGAGTCAAAATTAAAATGTATCAATAAAACTTATTGTGTGAGTTCCTTAGTACAAAAAAAAAAGGTTGAGAATTTTTAAAAAGTGGGCGTTCTCCGCCCTCTAATAAGTTTATTGTACATATCTCCTAAACCACTTAAGCTACAACAAAAAAATTTGTTGAGTACAAATCTTATAAGAACTTTTACCCACAATCTGAAAATGGATGAAATCGGAAGGTAACCCCGTTCACTCCCCATAAAACGGTATTGATTAAAACTACTAAGTGTGCATTAAATCCGTAACTGTTTACCGAAATCGTATGAGAGGGATTTATGTCAGCCTTTGTTAAAATTGGATGATGGGCGTGGCACCCACTTTTAGGTGAATTCCTATTTCTCGAGATCATGATGATACTTGACATTTTTTTAACATTTTCATATTACCGTGAGAAAATGGGCAAAATCGGACCACAACCACGCCCACTTTCCATATAACACAATTTTATAATCCTTTTGATTCTTTCACTCTCCGCTATACAAATCAAGAAGCAATCAATGTAACGAGATAAAACTCTGCACCAATAATGCTTAAGTGTATGCCACCTTATAATCAAAAATTTTAATTCAAATCCAACAAAAACTGTTTAACCCCCTAGGTACCGAATATTTGAACCTCAGTGCTTACGGTTGTCTTTTGATCGAAAATTTCGGTGAATGCTGTGATATATAATTCAAATTCAGCAATAATCCTTCTCTGACAGCGGTTTGTCCGTACTTCAAAAATGGGTTTAATCGGACCAATACTTCCATTAGCGCTCATATACCTAATATACACCAACTTCGATATACTACATATAATGGTTTTCGTTTTCCAACAAACCTTATGTTTCTGTTAATATAGGGGTTCAGTATATATATATATATATATGTATATATAAAATAGCTTGGATTTCGATCCTCAGGTTGACGTTTGGCTTGTAAGTTGCAAGAGTATGAAATTTTCGGTTGCACCCGAACTTAGCCTTTCCTTACTTGTTCAAATGGAGTTGGTTTTTATAAATAGCGTGTGTGTAAATACCAATATGCAGCTAACTAGGGGAAATTTGCATGACTTACTAGAAATGTGCAGTTATGTCCTTATTATTTTTTACAAAACTGTCTGTATATTTATATATTTTATATGCATCAAAGTGTTTATAAATTCCATCTAATTAAATATATTCTTTATATGAATTAAAACCAAGTGCTTTTAATTTTTCTAGGTATTTAAGCTAAAAGGTGCTGATCGTAAACATAAACAGGATCGCGAGAAAATTCAAAGGCGCCCTCAAACTGAGCAAGACAAATTCCAGCCAAGTTATGAGTGCACAATTATGAACGATATACCTCTGGATATATTAGCACCCACAACATCGGGTTGCTTTAGCCCTGAATAGTAAGATACATACATATATATATCCAGTAAATATATTGTGTAGTCGAAAAGTCTTTTCGTATTTCTAATCAAACTTCCACTTATTTTTTTATATGTACTAATAAATAAATAAACACATATGTTCCATTTTGGTTGACCACTTGACAGCACTGGACATATACGACTGCAACGACATATTTTAACAAAATACGAAAAGACTTTTTCGACTACCAATATTTAATAAATCAAACTTAATTTACACCCATACATTTTAAGTTTATGTTATAAACACGTATTTTATATGGTAAAATGCTCGCAGTTCCATGACCTGATAATCGAGAAACGTTATACTCTTCGAGTTTTGTTTGGCTATATCAAGTTTATAAATACAGTCATGAAATTGTTCTTATGTTTATTCCAAGATCTTCCGCTAATAAGCCAAACCATTTGAAAAGGACATGTAATGTTTAAAGGTGCTGGCAGAGTGGACGCTGAAGATCGAGTTGAGGAAAATGACGCCATAAGACCCAATACGATGCACGCTTTTTTCATCGCTTCAAAGTACTATTTTCAAAAGTGACGTCCTTTTCTAAATGCTGTTTGGCAAAGTTCAGCCGTTCTCTTATCTTTCCTTTAAACAAGAATTGGAAAAAGAAAAGAATAGCTCCTGTTTTCGAATATATAAATTAGCAAAACGCTGAGCAGCCAATACAAATCTGCACAAGCATATATTCCATTCCCGCCAATTCGGTGATATGTCTAAAGGTATGCGCTCTCAAGTGGTTAAGTCTTTATCTCCCGAACGCTGAACAATCAAGAAGGAAGCGTTGAGTTGTTTCCACCTCGCTAAAGAATTTGTATTACTTGTAATAAGTTTATGGTGTTATTAATCCTTTTTAAAAACATTTCAAAATTTTGGCAATCTGAGTTGGATTTTTGCTTTTTTATGTAGATCAATAATCATTATCCTTTTCCCGGAGTACATTACAAATTTCTACCTATTTTTTATATTTTAATCCTCTAAATCTTACTCTTTACAGTTTATATATAAAGTCCCAAAGAAGATATCGAAATAAATCTTTCCACAAAGAGTGTCCTTGGAAAATTACATATTTTTTCTAAAACTGTGGACCCACAGGCACCATATATGTTGCCCTCAGTGCTCATTACTGATATTTTACGTAAAATATAGTTAAAATTGTGAGATATATTTTTAAGAGTTAGAGAGAATATTTTTTTAATAAATTTTTTTATTTATTATAATAATATCATAATATATTAAATAGTATTTACTTGTGCCACAAAGAGGTAACATCGGATCAAAACATCAGGAAGTATTAACTCGATTTGATCCATTTTAGGCACAATAATAATAGTACGACTTGCATTAAGACAACTCACTACCATATATGAGTAATCATATGAGGTCTAGGGGATGTTTTGACCCGATGTTACCTTTTTTTGGCCAGCCCTCATATGTTATGCCTATATCATCTATGGATATTCAAACATCATCTTGACCTTTCCATACACATTGGGCAATGTGTGATTTATCTCAGAGAATATCCAGTTCTTGTAATGATATGTCGTAAAACCGGTCAGTATTAAAGGAATCTTACCAAAATTAAGTAAACATATAATATTAGATGCAGAATAGTTTAAGTACCCAAGCCCCTATATTCTGCATATAAAAATTGTCTAGTAGATTTTAGGCCCAATATGTTTTCTAGTGTGTGAATTATCTTCACAGAAATGCGTGTATGTTATACTTGTGTAATGAAAAACCTAATTGCAATCAGTCCAGACCTTCCCTAGTCCTTATATAACCCATATAATGCTTTTCATTAAATTCATAGATAGTCAAGCATTTGAAGTTAAAGCGTTTATGTCGGTCAGTATGTGTGATATTTTATTTAAGATCTGATATATATTATATTACAATTTTAAAAGAGATTGGTCAAGACCTTTGTCTAGCCGTCATATAATTAATACGTACATATATTGATTTCCGAAAATATTCCTTTCAAYCTCTGCTTGCAATGACTCGCACTAATGGATTCTCAAAGGTCAAATGTCTATGGTATATTTATACTTTGCTTTCTTAGGTATAATGTGGTCTTCAGTTATGCATGGGATGATATCTTCTTTTATTCTTTGAGGAGGAGTCTTCAATTTAACTTCTATCTCTGAAGTTCGTTTTTAGAGTACAATCGTATATTTTTTACACACATACATACGGATCCATGTTAATTATCACCTAACTCTTAAAAGTTATTGCATGTTGTTGGTGTTAATTAAAAAAGAAACTGCAGGAGTGTGCGTAGACGTTTGTCTAATAAATTAATTTGAGTTTCTACTAAGGTAATAACGACTTCTTTTAGCCAAATTCATTATCACCCAAGGCATACTGTAGCTTCTCATCGGTGTACATAAATATATATAGATTCCGGAATATGAATGTAGTGGCTTCACAAGTATTGGGTTAACATATCTATATAAGTATATGTGTCTTAGACTTTATCAATCTTCACCAATTTACAGAAACAAACCCAACCGGTTTTGTCGTTGCAACTGAATCTATACATGGTCGTACATATGATATCTACATACATATGTAAAACAAACTAACACATGACTAAAAATCATAACCACGTTGATGGTTGACATAGCTGCCATCGTTCCTCAGTGTTTGTATGCTTTATTTTGCAATTTTGCAAGTGTGACAACGGACTCTGCCGATAGCGAACTCCATATCGACTCTGACTCCGACAAAGAGTGCAGAAGACTTTCTCAATTGAATGCACAAACACAACTGCAAACGCAGAGCTGAACCAATACTAAGTATACTCTGTGCACCAATACGTGCGTTGATAATACCGGCCAACAAATCTCACCACTACATAGAAAATTTTGCATTTGCGAAACTGAACATTTTGCAACAGCTATTGTTACTATACTTAAGACTGTTGTGTAGGAGCTTCAGTATCGGTATAGTGTTCAGTACGTATTCGAGTTTGAATGTGATCGGAAGTGTTAGTAAGCCTCAAGCGCAAGCGCGTCGTTACAGAAAAACAGGAAGCAAAAAAGAGACTTAATTTTAATCTCAACGACAAAATTCGGTGTTTTTTGTGCTGTAAAATCTTATGTACGGACGAGAACTAACTTAGCCTGCATACGAGTATTGGCGAAGGCTCCAGTTAAGATTAAGTGTTTTTGTTTCGGTAGCCTTAGATCGGTACACGAGAATAATTTACTGGGCAGGCGGTAGACGAAAAAACTTGAATGGTCCGATACGTTTCGTCGATCATGTACTCTACGTCAAGGGATCTCCGCACAGCTGCATACAACTTTACTGAATGTCTAGAATTGTTAAGCTCAAAAACGAAGTTGTTACGTCGTGTTTGATAGTTCGCTAACAAACATCGTTGTTGTTGTTAATAAAATTACTGAATAATTGGTTGCACGCTTGACATAGCTTGTGGTATGTATGTATGAGCCCATAATTTTAAGGTTTGCTACAACTAGAAGCATAAACTAAAATAAGTAAGGAAGAGCTACGTTCGCGTATAACCGAACATCTCATACTCTTGCAAATTGCAATGCTTAAAGCCAGGGTACCATCATGAACATAACCCAATTCAACCAAACTATTTTCGACACACAGATACACAACTATATGAAAAGGATTCCTTCTGAACTTCATTTATATATCTCACACATTGGCCGATATTTTCCGTAAAAATTGTGCTTAGCGGCTTGAACAGTTCTTGTTCGATTTTCGCAATTTTTAGTAATTAGTTCTTGCTTTGTATATTTAAAAGTGATAGTTTAAAATGGAATTTAAAATTGTGTCTTATAGAAAGTAGGTAGTAGTGATCTTGGCTCCATTAAAGCCCTCCCACACCAAATATCAGCCATCAATATTTATGCTAGTCGACTTTGATTTTTATAACTTTAGGAGATGTGTATATTAAACTTATCAGAGAGCATTGCCATGCCCACTTTTAAAAATTATTTGCCCAAAAGCGACCCTTGTCACTGCGATACTTTGTGCCAAATTAGAGTTTTATATCTTAACTTAGTCCTTAGTCCTTAGTTATGGTACTTTATACGTTTTCATTTAAAGGCGCTTTATGGGCGTGGCAGGGCCCACGGACGCTTGCACAGATTTCAACACGTCTCGTCACCTTGGTCATATATATGTATATAACCCTATATCTATTCCGAATAGTTTTAGGTGATACATTCAACCGCTAAGTGAACAAAACTATTATACTCCGTAGCAATATGTTGCAAGAGTACAAAAATATTCCATGTATATATGTTACGTAATGCATATGCACTTACATACGTTATGTAAGACATTCAGTTTCGATTATGAAAGCAGCTTCAGGCAAACCAGGACATAAACGAATTTTATCTAATGTCTTGACATTTTTTGTTTTTAACAGTTGATATTTTCCCAACATAAAAACATTTGTATTTTCAAATTCTGACAAACTTTTTTATATTCCAATAATATTAAAATAAATTTCATAGTAATAGTAGTAAGTAACACCAAGAAGGTGAGGCCGGAGACCCTATAAAGTATATACATAAATGATCAGTATGTTGAACTGAGTCGATTTAGCCTTGTCTGTCTGTCTGTATATATACGAACTAGTCCCTCACTTTTTAAGATATCGTTTTGAAATTTTGCAAATGTCATTTTCTCTTCAAGGAGCTGCTCATTTATAACATATAGCTGCCATACAAACTGAACGATCGGAATCAAGTTCTTGTATGGAAAACTTTCACATTTGACAACGTATCTTCACGAAATTAGGTGTGAGTTATTGTTTCTAGAAATAATGTAATATCGAAAGAAATCGTTCAGATCGGCTTACTATAGCATATACCTCCCATACAAACTGAACGATCGGAAAAAAGTTCTTGTATGGAAAACTTTTGCATTTGACAAGCTGCCATACAAGTCGAACAATCGGAATCAAGGGCTTGTATGGACGTGATATCTTCACGAAATTTGACATGGATTACACCGAAACAATTGTTCAGATCGGATTACTATAGCATATAGCTCCCATATAAACTTAACACATAATTACTAAAAGAAATGCGCCTGTGAAAGATATATTAGCTCCGGGTGCTGCCGAAGTTAACGTTTTTTTCTTGTTTAGAATTAATTTTAATAATAATATAAATGCAAATTAATATTCAATACAATTTTTAACAAATATTTTTATCATAGAAAACACTTTGTGTTCGTAGAAAAGTTTTTTAATATGTGTATTTTGAGTTAACATATATTATACATACATTCAGATTTCATATCTCTAAATGATAAAAAAAGAAAAAAAAAAAAAAAAAAAAAAAAAAAAAAAAAAAAAAAAAAAAAAAAAAAAAAAAACAAAGAAAGCAAGCCAATATGTGATGCTATGGCTCTAAACAATATAAATATTTTAAAATTTTGTAAAACGACTATTAAAATAAGAGTCCTAAGATAAAATAGATGTTTGTAGGCTTGCGTAGTCATGAACAGAATTCATGTATTTTTGGTAACGTACATAACTACTCTCACTTATCCATTATTTTCGTTCTAATATTAACCATCTGGCCCAGCAAAAGTTGTTTTGCTATATTCGTTAATTTCAAGAAATACTACAATTGTAATTATATTCGATTCCAGTTGTGGATCTGTGTATATAGTAGAACAGAATATGGTTATGAAAATCAGTTTAGATGGTATTAGAGTGAAACTTTAGAGTTCAAAGTATTTTTCAATGTTAAATCATAAATCAAAAATAATTTACCGACGGCGTATGAAAAATAAGCGTTGACTGATTCGCACATCAAATTTTATCACAATCGATCCAGCTATTTCCGAGGAGTTTTAGTGATATTAAAAGAACGAATAGATTTCATTCAGATATGTATTAGAAATTATGGAAAAGTATGTTGCACCACAAACGTGGTGAGACTTTCAATATTGGTAGAAAAATTAAATACAGCGACGAATGCAAGGATAAGATAAGTGAGAAAGTGCTTTCAGTAATTGGGGTTTTTGTGGTGGGATCTTCAAAATAAAAAAAAACTTTATTTATTAATTGTGTTGTTTTTAAAAGGTTGAATATTGCATTTTWTTTTATTTTCTTTGTATTTGTTTTCTCAGTTCTACTCTACTTTTTATCCTAACCTCTAACCAAATTAATTCAGTGACATATCCACATTTGTTCTTTTTACTTCCTAACTTAGTATGAAGATTTGGCCAAATTCACCGGTACACATTCCCAAGTACGATGGCATATTGCCGTACACTGGAGGATCACCTGTTACCAACTCCAGTCCCATAGCCATAAATAGTGTAACTTCAACAAATTCTCCAACGCTGAAACTAATGGAAGCTAACATGGTGTCTCCGCAGCAATCGGCCACGCCAGACATGGATGACTACGTAAGTTTATTGAAGAATTTAAAGTTGATAGCATAACTTCTTCAACTGATTTTTGTAGACAATCAACATTTTACCAGAATCCTCTCCAAGCCAAGTTTCGCAATGGTTGAGCCACCATAGATTGACTTCTTACCTGTCAACCTTTTTACACTTTTCCGGTTCAGACATAATGAGGTAAGTAAATAAAATGAATTATTCCTGTTTTAAAAGCCATGCCAGTTCATATATGCAAAGAATATATCTTTATTAATCAAGCAATCTTACCGTATTTATATCGATATTCGAGTAGTGATCTGGATGAGTTGACCGTCTGTCCGTCTACGAAAACTGTAACGTGAGTAAAAATTAAGATATCTTGATGAAACTTGGACCCCTGAAGAAAACCTATAGAATGCCTCACTGAACAAATATCAGTCACTCTAAGAAGTCTAGAAATGATATTTCCTTGTGCCAAAAATTAATAAAATTGGGTTAATACTTCTCTTAGCCCCTATATATCGAACTCGCCGTTAACTTTTTACCGCATATATCGTCAATATATAGAATATCTTAATGAATTTGCGTGTTTCCTAATAACATTATATTTTTTGTACCTAAAATGGATAAAATCGGAGCCTAGCCTTCATATACCTAATACAAACATCCGCTTGACCTTACCATATACATATATCGGCCAATATATATACTCAAAGATTATATATTTCTCGTAATAATCTAGGTACATATATCCTCTATGAGAGCTATTTTGATTAAATTATATTATTACATGTGGATTGCACCTCGAACTTAGGTCTGTTATGCCCTCTCCTAAATCCAAAGACCCACATAGCCCCAGCATATTGATAAAGTCCAATATTCTTCATCCATTTTGACTTCAATCTGTCTTTAAAGCATTCATGTCGTTTAATACGAGTGATATTTTATTAAAATTAGGTAGATATTTTTTCTAACAAAAATGTGTTAGTGTTAAATGATTTCGAATCCACTTACGAAACTGTATATATGAATAGCTTGCAACTCCTGAAAGTATTTCTCCGGCTGTGAGAGAAACATTTTTCGTTTACACTCGTTTTTCGTCACTTAAAAGGAAAATAATTAAAAACAGCTGAGGCCAGGTACAGCTCTCACTTATTAATCCATTATACGTATACCAGAGAGGGTTGGAAATAATTACATTGGGTATAGCGGGTTATATCACGAACGTCTGAATATATCACATATTAACCAATACATATTTAAAGTACTATATTGAGTAGTAGTGGCAGAGACTCTGTTACTATACAAAAACTACGATACTATAAAAATTTAAACTGTTGTTATCTCTTAGTCAAAAATAATAGATCTTACACTTTAGTTTTGACTAATTATGACAATTTTTTTCTTAGGATGTCTAAAGAGGATTTGATTCAAATATGTGGGCTGGCCGATGGAATTCGCATGTTCAACATATTACGCGCTAAGTATGACCATATTTTCCTTTTTAATTTTCTTATTACATACATACTAAGTATTAATGAAAATTGTGTTTCAGAGCTATTGCACCGCGTCTTACACTTTATGTAAGTTTGGATGGCAATAGCTACAATGCCATATACTTGCTATCGAACACATCAAAGGAGCTAATGCAGAAATTGTGCAAAATGCCTGGATTCTACGAGATGATTGCAAATGGCAACACAAATGGTGCATTAGAAAATGGCTCGATTTACAGTAGCTTTAGCATACACTCGAAATATTCCGGCAGTGGTTCGAATATTTTCAATGATAGCACTAAAAACTTTATTTTTCTAGCAGGCCCTTCAGGCGTACATGTAAACGTCACTGACGAGGTATTGAATAATGAGGTGAGAGACGGAAGTCTTTATGCTCTCGAAGTACAAAATGGTAAAGTTGTTATGAAGTTGATAAACAAAAATGATAATTGAAAGCCCAATTAGAATGAACCCTATATATATAAATATAACTGAATATTTATGCATACCTATTTTCTTTGACTTGATTCAACTAAAAATACATAGTAATGTTAAAAAATACAATGTTATCATAAGCCTTTATTCTCTATTATATAAATATGTACAATATTTGTGAAGTTCGAGTGAAATTATACGAATTTCGTTATTACGAGTACTGCATATTAGTTTTTATAACGTGTTTTGAAAATTAGCCATATTTAACTTCACTTTATGAAATGCACTTTTCCTAAGATATTTCTTTCCGACGATCGGTACGTAAATAATATTATGCACAATATATCAACTTATTTACATACATATATGTGCTTTGCAATTTATTGTAAGTATAATATTATATATGAGAGTATGTATAAAACATTGTATAATTTTTTGCATGAGTTACCTATAAGAAAAGTTTAAACTTTAAATAAAAACGGGCTATACACTATCATCACTTTTATTGAGACACAATCACTAACAACCAAATATATTAAATGTAAAAAACACCAAGATTATAAACTTCATCAATACATTTATGCTGTTGTAGTCAAAACTGTATGTTCATACATACATACATAAATAAAAACAGTCTTAATTGTGTATCTATTATTATTTTAAAATTAAATAATATTAATACAATACGTTGAAGAAATAAACAAACGGTCTGTAAACAATGCTGTGTTTAAATCTACGCAACTTTAGGATAACTTTAAAAAATCAGGAGATGAAGGACACCACACCATATCTATTTCAGTGAGCTCTCTACTTACATGTTCTTTAAAATATAAAGCGAAAAAAATTATGAAACCATTTTGTAACGAACTAACGGTATCTCTCTAAGAGGTATAATCCTTACAATATTACGTTACGAATAGAAAAAAATTTTACCCATTGGGAATTGAATTGAATGATTGGGTGTTGGTCATATGGTATCCAAACGAATACGTGCATGGGCTGTAAATAATAACCGTGCGATTCTGTACTGTGATACAATCTCAAGTCTCTAAATTTGATAGAGACAATTTTTGAGACTTGAGACGATTTTGCTATTCTGTAAGTGATAGTCACAAACTCTATTACATTTCATTATTCAGAGATGTTTTTATACTTGAATGAAAATAAATATGTCTATAACATAGTCACATAATTATCAATAAAAATAAAAATATATGTTGACTTTGTTTCATAATATTAACGAAATTTATGTAAAATATATTTATTTTTAACCTTCTCGTGTTTGAGTTGCTTACAAAATATAAAAAACGACAATTGATTAATATCTATGGTGATCTCTATTCAGTATATTCAAAATGGCAGACAAAAGTTCTTTTTGGTTTTGTGACTTGCAACTACTAGGTCTCAAATTTGAGGCAATATTTTGAGACTAAAGCTAGAGACTGTTTAGTGAATAGTAACTAGTCACAAATTGAGATTTTACCACAAAATGTCTCAAATAGAGACTGGTTACAGAATCCCGCTATAAGTTCAGAGAGTAGTGGTTCATCATATCAGGCGTCGGTAAACTTGATATAATATTTAAAAATGTTGGGAAAAATTGAACATTCATTACTCGACGAAATCATGAATGGATTACAATTTGGTACGTTATTTACTTATATTTTATGTCCTGGGCTCACTTAGTGTTGTTACTATATTTTACCTCGTGCCTCGATAATTGTAGTAATGATATAAACCTACAAATGTGATGTAAACTCAACCTAAGAGGATAAATATATTATAATATATTGACTTGATATGGAAAACGCCAAGCAGAGCATCGAAATTATCGTTTTTATGGATATAAAAAAGGTGTTGAACAGTTCCAGTTGTTGTTGTTGTAGCGGCAGAAAACATTACTAAAGTAATTTTGAAGAATGTTATCGAGTTGATAGTATTTGGTCGGATAAAAATCCATCATACAGCCTTGGGTAGCTCGGATTGTAATGCTAGAGGAATGGCTTTGTTCGACTACATTAACGCTAAGGACCTCCTAACAATGAATATATGTATGTAGGTAACACACCTTTCTTCACAATTGAGTGTAGAAAAGAAGTGTTAGACTTAACCATATGCAATAGACGTGTGGTTGGCCTAATATCGGATTGGCAAGTTTAGTTAGAGCAGAAATAAAGGTGCTCCGGCCATAGGTACATTCACTTCAACTTTAATATCGGAGGCCTAGAGCAACCGATGTACAGGAACAGATCCACAAACAAACTGAAACAAATATATGACCGAATAGTATCGCGCTATAGGTACACTCTCAGTAGCTGGCCCGATTAGTTCCGTGTCAGATATAGACTTATGTAAGAAAGGTCACAAAATGCATCATTGATACTTAGAAACAGCATGCCCCTACCTCAGAGAATCATAGATGAATCGAAAAGTTTTTCATAAGACCAGGCTATTTAATAACGACGAATGTTGGTATGCTTATCAGACTACTTTTCGTGAATACAAAGGCAAACTAAGAATAGCGAAATCAAAAGGTGAAATCGAAACAGGAGTGGGCTTTTCCTATAGCAATCCAAACGTGGAATTCAGCTTCAAACTAAATGATTACAATTCGGTCTTTCTTCTTTCATGCCGAAATTGTGGGCATAACAGAAGGAGCCAAGTCGCTTCTTTCCTAACCATCAAGTCCATAAACATTCTGGTGGATAGCCAAGCGGTAATTAAGGCCCGTGGTAGTGCCAATTCAAAATCTCATTGAGTTAGGTTATACTACAAGTCAAGACTTTTAATTGTGAGCCTAAGCGGAAAACTCTAGGTCTTTTGGACATAAGCAAAACAGGGCAAACCACAAAGGGGTAGAGTTGGTGGTGGACAGACCAAAATGCTCCTACTTTTAGGCAAAAGGGAGCTCGGCAACATTGTAACCTAAGAAACACTCGGCAGCTGGGCGGAAAGAATCGTTTCTTTCACCGAATTTACAGAGTTGCTGGGTTTGTAAAGATATCTCACATACCATCACCAAAGTATGGAATAAAGTCTGCCGGATATTCGAAAATTCTGATATTAGTTATATAGAGGCTTTCAGCCCTTTAATCCATTTTAGGTACAAAGATACATTGTTATTAGTAAAAAAACGTCTCTCATTTTCATTGATATAACTAACACATTGACCGATATATGCGGTATAAGGTCACCCGGAAGTTCGAAAATATTTATATTAGATATATGGCGGTTAAGGGATGTATTGACCGGATCATCATCATCCCATTTTTTTGATTAATGGAGTTTTGCAAGCGTACGTCGTCCGACTACGCCCATCTACAAACTCGTCCTCGTCGTCCAACAACGAACACGTGTACCTAGCTTCATTACGATACTTCAATTTTTGCTCAAGGTACAGCTTACATGGACAAACAGTCAACCCAATTTCAACTCGTCTGGTGATCCTTATCATTTATACATGTGTACAGACAGCGTTACGAATTTTGCTATAATTACGCAAGCGACTATGTGCAGCAATAAACCATGTCAACAAACACAAAGAAAATTTTCGGAAAATGCAAAAGAACAGCTGGTACGATAAGGAGTGCCGTGTCGCAGCGAAGCGAAAACAGACTGCCTACCTCGCGACGTTACAATAGACCACTACACGTGCGGAATGGGATCGATACCGAAAGTTGAAGAAGGAAGCGAGACTCATTTGCAGACAGAGAAAAAGAGAGGCAACACCAAAAGCTCCCTCAGGATCAAGAAAGCCCTCCCCGAGCTGTTGGATACCAACCGAGATTTCAGACTAGGCTTCTGTGACTTCTTCAATTAGAGAAGGTAACATCTTCTATAAAATCGTACAGCTGCTGGCGTACGCTGGTTAGGTTATGTCATACTTATGGACTCCAGTTCTGAAAGTTGGGATTAAAACTGAAAATTTCCAGTTTTTAATCCAAGAAGTTTAAGATTAAAATTAGGAATATGGTTTTTTGATTTGAATAAAGTACGCAAACGCAAATAAATTTTATTTATAAAACAAAGTATTTCCTTTAATTCTTAATTATATGCTTGTTATCAAACAAAGGAATAGTTTTATTTATTAAATTAACATTATTCTAAACTCTATTCATAGCTGGTGGCGCGAATATCTCCTCCAATAAATCCAAACTTCTGCACATATGCATGTACATAATAAACGTATTACAATCGCGTTCATCCATTCCATCAAGTTTCAATAGCACTAATATAATATAATCAAGTAAGAAAGGGCTAAGTTCGGATGAAACCGAACATTTTATACTCTTGCAACTTGCAAGAATCAACGCCAGAGGTAGAACGTCAAAACAAAGATCGAAATCTAAGAAATGTTATATATATATATACTCTATAAAACTAATACACTGACCTACAAATTCGGTATAAGATTTGTCAAAAAACGAAAATCAAGTTTTTGGCCAATTTTATTCATTTTAGGCACAAATATGCACTGTTATGAGTACAACATGTTCTGCAATTTTCATGAGATAACTCAAATATTGGCCAATACATCCAGCATAAAGTCTCCTGGAAGTTCGAAAATATTAGGTATATGGGGCTTAGGAAAGTAATGGCTGGATTCAACCCAATTTGATACACAGAAACACTATTATCGGGAAAGATGAATTTCAATTGTATATCTCACATAATTACCGATATTTTCGGTCAACTATAGATACTGGGGTCCACAGTACCTATAGGCCTGAACCGTTTTTTTGGATTTGAAAAATTTTTGTTCATAAAGTGGCCGTTGTATCAATTGTTTCTTGATTTGTGTACTGGAAAGTGAATGAATTAACTGGAATTTAAATTTGTGTTATGTGGGAAGTAGGTGTATATATAGGTTGTGGTCCGATTTCGCTCATTTTCATACTGTGACATAGGAATATGAAAGAATACTACGTACTAAATTTAGTCGAAATCGGTCGGTCAGGTCCCGTGACATGTTATTTTTACCAAAAAGTGGGCGGTGCCACACGCATTGTCCAATTTGGCCTTTTTACCCCATTTCGCAGTTAAAATTTAATGCCACTGGTATAATTAGTAATTAATTAATTTATTGTCATTTTTACAGTACCCTGAGCGGGGTTATCTCCCAGTTTCGTTAACTTTCACACTGTCGGTCGTAACAGTATTTGCGCTCAGCAAATTTGGTTGTTGTATCTTTATTAGTTTAGGATATAAGTACAATACACTTATTAGAGGTCGGGGCCACGCCCACTTTAAAAAAAAATTGTATCTATAGATGCCCCGTAGTACTGCGATTCTCTGTGCCAAATTACAGTTTTATACACAGTGTTCAGTTATGGACCTTTATAGATTTTCGGTTAATAGCGATTTGTGGGCGTGGCGTCCGATTACACCGATCTACGAATTCGTACTTTTTTTGTACTAAGAAACCGCATAACGAGTTTCATCAGGATATCTCAATATTTATTCAAGTTACAACTTGCACGGATGGACGGACATACAATCAGAAACCTGGGTTTTGAGTTTTCTCTTCATCTTGAACATTTATCATTATGGAGACGTTGCTAATGTTTGCTTAAATCTATATACATACATAAATAAAAGAAAGTCGTGTAAATTACGCTATTTATAACTCAAGAACGGCTGAACCGATTTGGCTGAAAATTGATGCGGAGGTAGCTTGGAACCAGGGGACGGACATAGAATAATTTTTATCTCAATATGT